CCTTAGCCGCTTGAGCCACAGGCGCCGAGCCTAGAAGTGATTTCTAAACTGAGATTTGATGGATAAATAGAAGTTAGCCAGAGATAGTAAAAATATTTCTGACCAATAGAACAGCAGGGGGCCAAGACAATTTGACATAAGAGAGGAATGAAAAGTTCAGTGATTGGAAAATAGAACATACAAGTGCCTGATCATAGTAAGGCATTGCAGGACATGTTAAGGACTTTTATCCTGGAGAAAATGGGGAAGTCATAAGAGGTATTTAAACACTGTAGCACTGCACAAAACGCATTTGCTTTGGAGGTATTATAACTTAAAGGGGGGAAATGGACTTTGAAACAGATTTGGATTAGAAATCTAGCTTTGTCACTGCCTCATGGGTGTCCTTCCTCTCTTGAAAAATAGAAATGATAAAATTTGTAAAGAGTCTGGTAGTCCAAAGAGGCCAATAAATATTTAATAGTTTCCTCTTCCTAAATCCCTATGAACTCTTTGAAGGCCAGAAGCAAATCTTTTAGAGCAAGAAAGGTAAAAGAGAAAGTGCCTTGGATCCTAAGCCAAGAGATTCGGATTCGAATGTCAGCACTACGCCTTCAAAAGTAATCTTTTTCATTTTAGCTTCCCCACCAATATTTAATCCGCACAATTAGAATAAGGATTAATATAATGAACGAAAACTGCTTGAGCTACAATAGGATGCAGTAATTACTACTGTATTCCTCTCCCACCACCTCCTGGCTTCAGTACTCCTTAGTGCAATGGGGACCATCCTAGCTCAGGGATCAGGGCAGGGTGGATGGCAGACAGCTGGACTGTCAAGGCTGGTCCAGATTACGAAAGCAAGTAGAAGGTGGGAAAGCAGAGAAGCAGGTGGGCAGAGGACGCATGCGCGCACGCACCCGACAGGCGCAATCCCGTCGTGCCTACAACGCTTCCCGCGCCAGGCCGCGGAACGCGGTGCTCACCAAGCAGAGGGGGAGAAGACTAACCGAACAGGCTCGTCTGCGTCGCAGAGGCGGATTCGCTGGGAGCACAGGATCTTCCGTGTTTTTTCCCACGAGGGGAGCGCGCACACTCAAGGGGAGGGGGGACCCATCGCACATTTTCATTGGTCACTGCTGGGTGTAGAGCCCGCCCTCCGCCCTCGCCCCACCCTCTGGGGGACCCGCTTCCGGGAAGGGGCGGAAGAGGCGGGGTGGCAGAGGCGGGGTCGAGATGGCGGCGCCTTTGAGGATCCAGAGCGACTGGGCCCAAGCTCTCAGGTGAAGCCAGGCCTGAACAGGGGCCTAGGAGGCGGGTAGCAGTTGTTGCCTTTACGTTGAAAGCCTGCCTAATCCAGGATATCCACAGAGGTTACCTCATCAGTTGTTGAGGGAGGGTCTAGAAGAAGTCACAAACCCATGTAGTTATTGTGTTTTATTCTCGGAACAATTATCCGGAGGCTAAGGGAACACATGGCCTATGTAATCCCTCTGTCAGAACTAGGATCAACGAGTTGGAGAAAAACAGGGTAACTGGGAGGCAGGAAGACTCTTGGCCAAGTAGTCATTTAGCGAACATTTCTTGGTCATCAGTTATTTGCAAAAGCCTTGCCAACCCTATCTGTGATGGAATCGTTGTGTCCTCCCTAGACCCCTAGTGCATACTAGACGATTCTGTTCAGGAAATAATGTAACACCTTCCATGCCCTCGCCTTATACTAAATGCGTGTGGAGCTCAGATGTGTACTCTAACATAAATGATGGTTCTTCTCTGCAAGAAGCTAACGTCTTAATTGGGAATACACAGCGAACCATTTTTTATTTGATTTGTTTTTGTTGTTGTTTGTTTGTTTGTTTGAGACAGAGCCTCAAGCTGTCCCCCTGGGTAGAGTGCTGTGGCATCACAGCTCTCAGCAACCTCCAACTCCTGGGCTCAAGCGAGTCTCCTGCCTCCGCCTCCCAAGTAGCTGGGACCGCAGGCGCCCGCCACAACGCCTGGCTATTTTTTTGATTGCAGCCATCATTGTTTGGTGGGCCTGGGCTGGATTTGAATCCGCCACCTGAGGTGTATGTGGCTGGCGCCTTAGCCACTTGAGCCACAGGCACCGAGCCACCATTTATTATTTGGAATTTAATTATTTTTTGAGGCAGGGTCTTGGTCTCTCACCCGGGCACAGTGGCATCATCATGCTGCCAGTGCTGCCAATGCTGCAGTCTTGAATGGCTAGGCCCTGGCGATCCTCCTGCCTCTGACTCCCAAGTAGCAGCTAGGATTACAGGCACATGCCCCTAATATCCAACTAATTTATTTTCTTCTTCTTCTTTTTTTTTTTTTTTTTTGCTATGTTGCCCAGGCTAGTCTCAAACTCCTGGCCTCAAGAAATCTTCCTGCCTTGGCCTCCCAAAGTGCTGGAATTAAAGGCATCAGCCAAAGCACCAGTCCTGACAGATATTTATTTGTCATATAGTGTGTCAGTTACTTCTCTAGGCACCTGAATGAGGATATAGTGCTATAGATGGCAACTATTATTACTGATAAGTGTTTTTCATATTGAAGCAATGAACATAGAATATGATAAAGTAATAAAGGAAGAACAATAATTGTTTATGAGAGAATGCAGGATCAGAATCAGAGGATATAATTTGCCCAAGATAATGCAGCTGGTCACGTGTAAGAGGGTTGCTATCAAGCTAGATCTCTCAGTCCTAAAATCTTAGGCTCTTTCCATCATAACCTAAACAAATATTAGGATGAAGAGATCAGGATTTGGAATATAGGGAAGGTACATTCTAAAATACATAAAAAGTCAGTGTGAGGTGTTAGAAAGAACACAGATCTTATTGTGTACCAGTCCCAGGTTTCAATTCAGATTTCATAGTTAGATGAGTTTGGACAAGTCACATCTGAACTTCAGTTTTTTATCATTAACAAGGTATTTTGTTTGGGGCAGTGGCCCCATATACCAGAGGTGGCGGGTTCAAACCTGGCCTTGACCAAAAAAAAAACAAAACAAGGTATCTTGATTGGCTATTGTGAAGATTAATGATGATATATGCAAAGTGCCTAGCACAAGGCCTCTTTTACTATAATCCTGATAAATATCTAAATATAAATAACCTTGATTTCTCAAAGTGAACACCCTATTGAGCATTAAGTTAACCAACAGATGTCTGTTCATTAAATATTTAATCCACAAATGTTTCATCAATAAATAAAGTTTGACTGTCTTAGAATAATCTGTACCTGGGTGGGAAGTTGGCCTGGATCTTGTCTAAGTACTATGACCAAACTGGAAATCATATGACCTTTCTTCCTTATGCCTATTTAACCTTGGGTGAGGCTAATTAGGCTTTTGTCTTTCTTCATAGGAAAGATGAAGGGGAGGCCTGGCTAAGCTGTCATCCCCCAGGTAATGTCCACGAATCTATATGTCCTCCCTGTATTTCTTTCTTTTTTTTGAGACAGTCTCATTTTGTTGCCCCCAGTAGAGTGCCATGGTGTCACATTTCACAACAACCTCGAACTCTTGGACACTAGCTATTCTCTTGCCTCAGCCTCCCAAATAGCTGTGACTACAGGTGCTTGCCACAGTGCCTGGCTGTTTTTTGGTTGTAGTTGTCATTGTTTGGCAGGTCTGGGCTGGATTCAAACCCGCCAACTCTGGTGTATGTGGCTAGTGCCTTAGCCACTTGAGCTACAGGTGCTGCCGAGAAGCAGATTTTAATAGGATAGGTGGCAGGAGAACTGGCTGCAGGGAATGGAAGGGGCAGAAGGACTGCAAAACTGCTGAGTTTGAAAACATGAATTGGAGCTTTACCAGTCCACATTGTCTATTTTTGTCTTTTTTTTTTTTTTTTGTCCTTTATTTGTGTCCTTTTTTGTAGTAGCACTCAGCAGCCTGCCTGTAGGAAGGTAGAAGATGAGTGGTTGGATTGATCCCAGTTCTATACACACAAAACCAGGACTGAGATCATTTTAGTAACTTCACAGATGGAGAGAAGTCATTGAGGGTGCTGTCAGGGGATGAGTTGAAATGCATTATGAGGGCCACACTTTAGGGTGAGTGGTGAAGAAAGGAGGGAATCATGGCATGGTATAAAAAATAAAGTACTGCTAGGTGTGGTGGTTCTAGCATGTCATTTTGGTAGCCCAGTGTGTTTGAGATCAGTCTGGGCAACATAGTGAGACATTGTCTCTACAAAAAATTAAATTTTTTTTTTTTACTTGTAAAAAAAGAAAGAGGCTCGTTTCATGAGCATACAGATGCTGAATTAAGTCTTTAAGAGGAAAAATGTTAAAATTCTTTTCATTTTGGTTTGGTGCTCATAGCTCAGTGAGTAGGGCTCCTGCTACATACACTGAGGCTGGCAGGTTCGAGCCTGGCCTGGGCCTGCTAAACAACAATGACAACTGCAACCAAAGTTTGAGGCTGCTGTGAGCTGTGACACCACAGCACTCTATCAAGGGTGATATAGTGAGACTGTCTCAAAAAAAAAAAAAATTCTTTTTATTTTTTGAGACATGCTTTTCTTGTGCCTTAGGGAAACCATCTTTGTATGGCAGCCTAACTTGTCAAGGAATTGGCCTAGATGGTATCCCAGAGATTACAGCTTCAGAAGGATTTATTGTGAATGAAGTAAACAAGGTATGTTTTTATGTCTTCTGGATGGCCCAGTATTCAAAACTATGGTAGTACTCATATGTCTGCCTTTGATTCTTATACTAATATCAGTATAAATATCATCCCTCCTTCTTTTGTATAATAATCATAGTTTTTGCTGCCTTTGAGTGTCAAAAGTTTTTTTTCTTTTATATTTACATATACTTTTAAGTACAGTCAAACGTCCTCTCACTTTCCTTATACCAGCTCTGATCTACATGTATAATTTAGAATTTTCCAGTATCTACATCAAAAAGCTTAATGGATGAAATTATAATAATTTTGATAATATATTTGATTTAACTCAGAACATCTGAAATATTATTTCAATGTATAAATAACATAAAAAATTATTAATAAGATATTTTATATTCTTTTTATTATCTTCAAAATCCTATGTATATTTTATGCTTGCAGCACATTTCAGTTTAGACTCTAATTTTTTATTGGAAATACTGTATGTAGGTTTTATAAAATTTATAGTTGAAAACAGATTCACATATCCAAATATGCAGCTACTACCTATCATATTGGACTGCATAGCCTTACAGTCTGTGTCTGGCAAGGCCTTGGTGAAGAGCCTACATTAATAGTACTTTAATAGTTTTTCTCATTTATCTTTGAGGTGAGTAGATGACTAAGCTAAGTGTTTGAGAACCCATGACTTGCCTTTTCTTATTCATGCTGACTACTGTAGAAAGTATACTCTATTGAGATGATCCCCAGAGGGTAGAGCAGCTTTTGTGTGTGTGTGATTAAACATTTTTTTTAGTTGTAAAATGATTTTAGTATACTGACAAATACAGAGAAAATCTTGCTTTTTAAGTAAGATGTTTAGCAAATGTTAATTCATTATCCTCCTTGTGCCAGATAATAGGCTTCATGTCATTATATATTTTATTTTTCTCCTCATCTACTCTGATTTTTTTTTTTTTTTTTTTTTTTTTGAGACAGAGCCTCAAGCTGTCGCCTTGGGTATAATGCTGTGGCATCACAGCTCACAGCAACCTCTAACTCTTGGGCTTAAGCGATTCTCTTGCCTCAGCCTCCCAAGTAGTTGGGACTATAGGCACCTGCCACAACGCCCGGCTATTTTCTGGTTGTAGTTGTCATTGTTGTTTGGCAGGTCCAGGCTGGATTTGAACCCGCCAACTCTGGTGTATGTGGTTGGCACCTCAGCCGCTTGAGCTATAGGCACCAAGCCTCTTTTTTCTTTCTTTTTCTTTTTTTTGAGACAGAGTGTCCCAATGTCACCCTCAGTAGAGTGCTATGGTGTCATAGCTTACAGCAACCTCCAACTCTTAGGCTTAAGCGATTCTCTTGCCTCAGCCTCCCAAGTAGCTGAGACTACAGTCACCCCCTATAATCCCCAGCTATTTATTTGTAGTTGTCGTTGTTTGGCAGACCCAGGCAGGGTATGAACCTGCCAGCCGTGGTGTCTGTAGCTGGTTCCCTAGCCACTGAACTACAGGCACCAAGCCTATATTTGTTTTGCGTAAGTAGCTATGGGTATTGTAGAAGGTGTCAGAAGATCTGAGTCTTAGTTAACTCAGACACTTAACTATATGATTTTGGACAAATAACTTAGTTCTCTGAGCCTCAGCTTCCTCATGTATAAAACAGAGACAGTGGGCTACTTCATGGAATAGCTAATGAGCAGTGAGACTACATAGGCATGAAACTATAAAATATAAAAGTGAGGTATAATTGTTTACCATAACAATTCTGTGGGAATGGCATTTCAAATTTCCATTTTGCAGATAAGCAAACAGACTCAGAGAAGTTAAAATATCCCTAATAATCAAAGTCAGTTTGATGATGTGCTGGAATTGAAACCCACTTCTATTGATTCCAAGTTAACACTAATTTGTAAGCCTGCATTTTCCCAAGTGTTTTATCAGTATTCATCCACAGCCTAGGGCCTGACTTCTCTTTTCCCTTCATATTCAGACCTGGATACAATCCTTATCTCTTCAAACATCATTGCTAATTTTTGCTGTGAACCTGCTGGGTGGGTTGAGACAGTAAGTGCTTATAGTTGAACGTTCATTTGTTTCCTAACTGCTTTGAGTCTGTTTGCTATTTTATATTGTTACATTGTTCTATTAAATAGTAAATCTGTCCTTATGCTTAAATGCCTAACCCTGGAGGATAATAAAAGCTTGACTTTGAATTTTATCTTAGTGTGGCCTACTCACACTTTTTTCCCCTTAGATTTTGTCTATTTTGATATCTTCTGCAGTTTTTTCTTCAAAGTATTTTTGTTAACAGCATGATTGTCTACTGCTCAAATGGGAAAGGTAATTTAACATTCGCCTTCCTCCACAGTCTATTTATGAATTCAAGGTTGATTTGCAGGATCAATAAGTAGGAGGAAAACAATGATTCTTGAAATCTGTTACATAATTAGCCCAAAGACATGAACTCTTCTGAGAGCAAACCCAGTTCTTACAGAGATCCAAACACTAAGTTTTTATAGCTCTTTGTATCTTTCTTGGTTGAATATTTAGCCAAGAAAGTTTAGCTGACACTTCAGTTTCTGATATGCATGCACTCAGTTCCAAACCCAAATCAGCTCTCTTGCAGCTATATAGGCTTGGTCATGCAGTTAGAAGCAAAAATTCATTTAATGAAAGGCCTGCAGGCAGCCAGGCATGGATATGCTGCCTAAGAAAAAGTACTTTTTGTATAGATAGTCTAATTGTCTTTTTAAAGGAGTAGATGACCCATAATAAGAGCATATAGACTTTCAGTGATAAGAGTATTATGACTTTGAAACTGTTGTTTGTAATGAACTGTTAGGACTTATGTTTGTTGGATGAAAAGAGGTTCAGAAAATCTTAATTACTAAAGACATTTTGATTCTGTAGAGTTTCCAGAGAATTTGAAATACTACTGCAGAAGAGGTAACAGGTTAGGGGCCTTTTGGTGAGTGCAGCTCCTCAGCTCATTCTGGGAAATATACACTTAGGTGGTGGTATTTCATATTATACTGGTTAAAGTAAGAGATGGCATATAGAGATGCAGTATAGAGTCTTACTGCAAGAATTCTAGAGGAAGGGTTTACCAAGCCTTATATAACTCTACAGTTGCTACCTGCAAACAGCAACATCTATATTTACCTGAAATGATTACAGATGGCTTTTAGCAAGCCGTGTGTACTGAATCTAATACCTAGTTCTGGGTATACTTTCCTACTATGCCACCAGTGTTATCTTGCTCTGTAACTGAGAGACAGATAATAATGATGAAGCAAAATACACAGACCATCAAAATATAGTTATGTGACAATAGCCAGTCTGTGAACATGTATAGTCAGTTCAAGTCCTACAGGGCAAGAGGCACTACAAACCTGACCTGGGCCTACACATTTTATAGGCCTACATAAATTAGGTACCATAATTTACCGATTTTCTCTGGCAACTGTACATGTCAGTAGTCTGACATTCTTTCTGGAAGTTCTGACAGGCAACAGGTTTTTTTTGTTTGTTTTTCTGAGACAGTCTTTTTTCCTTTTTTTTCTTTTGAGACAGAGTCTCACTTTGTTGCCCTTGGTAGGGTGTCGTGGTGTCACAGATCACAGCAACCTCCAACTCCTGGGCTTAGGTGATTCTCTTGCCTCAGCCTCCCGAGTAGCTGGGACAACAGGTACCCACCACAACGCCCAGCTATTTTTTGTTGCAATTTGGCTGGGGCCAGGTTTGAATCCACCACCCTCGGTATATGGGGCCGGCGCCCATTCACTAAGCCACAGGCACTGCCCCTGAGACGCTCTTACTTTGTCGCCCTCAGTAGAGTGCCATAGCATCATAGCTCACAGCAACCTCAAACTCTTGGACTAAAAGCAATTCTCTTGCCTCAGCCTTCCTGGTAGCTGGGACTGTAGACACCTACCACAACTCCTCCCGGATATGTTTTAGAGATGGGGTCTTGCTCTTGCTCAGACTGGTCTGAAGCTACTGAGCTTAGGCAATCCACCTGCCTCAGCCTCCCAGAGTGCTGGGATTACAGGTGTGAGCCACTGTGACCAGCCTCAACAAGTTTACTTTCAGACTTGGCTTTTAGGCCCTAGGCTTGAAGGCTAGTACTGGTTTTCTTCACATTTCCTTATGTACTCTTCTGTTGATTCTTTTCCTTGTCCTACTCCTAATGGAGAATATTGGTATTAGATTTTCCTCTAAAATATTAATGTTCTCATGCTTATCTGTTGTATTTTATTGGTAATGTGCCTTCTATGGAACAGCTTACTTCAACATAAAAGGGTAATGGCATTTCAATGATACCAAATTACATTGCAGCCCCCTGCAGTAAAAGGACTGCTAAGCTTTGGAGGAGGGATAGTTTTATGGGCTGGGCGTATGAGAGAGGAAATACTTAGAAGGTGAGAATTTCTTGTAGTCCTAATGTTTTCTTTAAGAAACATTACACTGGTGTAGCTTTACTTATGAACTTCATCTTTTCCTCTTTGTATAGAAAAGTATTCATATTTCATGTCCAAAGGAAAGTGCATCATCCAAGTTTTTGGCACCATATACTACTTTTTCCAGAATTCATACAAAGAGTGTAAGTATTTTGATCAAATGAAAACAAAACATAATGGCATTTTCATTTTTCATTAAAATGAAATTATAAACATTCATAATTAATGTGTGTTTCATTTACTTTAAATTGTAAAGTGATACCACTGATGAAATTTATATGTATTTGGTAAAACTGATCCTTAAGTCTACATAGAATATTTGTACAAATCTAGTCACTAGTAATCTTAGAGATTATATGAAATTCCCTATAGATGGTTTTTTTCCCCGTATACAGAGCTACTTACCAGCTTTTGGATAATGATGTAATAGCTGATGCTTGCATAATATGCCACCGCTAATATTTTATTCTTTTCCCTATAGGACAGGGCCATTGTCTCAAAATTGCAAATATACTATATTGAGGAATAAATTTCAGAGATTTTTGTATAATAATAAACCTTCTACTACCATGGGTCTCTTTGAAGCAGAAGTAAGAAATTGGTAAACTGATTATTTTAAAGCCATCCACTTATTGTGTGGGGTTTTTTTTGAGACAGAGCCTCAAGCTGTCCCCCTGGGTAGAGTGCGGTGGCATCACAGCTCACAGCAACCTCCAACTCCTGGGCTCAAGCAAGTCTCCTGCCTCAGCCTCCCCAACAGCTGGGACTACAGGCGCCTACCACAACACCTGGCTATTTTTTGGTTGCAGCTGTCATTATTGTTTGGCAGGCCCAGGCTGGATTCGAACCCACCACCTTAGGTGTATGTGGCTGGCGCCTTAGCCACTTGAGCCACAGGCGCTGATCCAGTGTGGTATATTTTTTGAAAGAGCTATTTTGTTTGCCCTAATTACAAAACATATTTAGTGATGAAAATGTAGGAAATATAAAAGAAAGTGAAAAGCACTCTTATTTCTATACCTCAAAAATAATTGCTGTGGGCTCGGCGCCTATAGCTCAACCGGCTAAGGCGCCAGCCACGTACACCTAAGGTGGCGGGTTTGAATCCCCAGCCCGGACCCGCCAAACAACAATGACGGCTGCAACCAAAAAATAGCCGGGCGTTGTGGCGGGGGGCTGTGGTCCCAGCTACTTGGGAGGCAGAGGCAGGAGACTCGCTTGAGCCCAGGAGTTGGAGGTTGCTGTGAGCTGTAATGCCACGGCACTCTACCCAGGGGGACAGCTTGAGGCTCTGTCAAAAAAAAAAAAAAAATAAATAAAAATAATTGCTGTGAACTTTTGTTGTATATCCTTTTTTGATAGTAATCATAGTAGTTAAGGCTAATGTTTATTGATTGGTTGTTATATGCCAGCAAGCATTATGGTAACTTTACATAGTTTTCTACTTAATCCTCTCAGTGTTTTCCTTAAATATTTTACCCAAATAAATTTCTACCTGGGAGGCTGAGGCAGGTGGATTGTCCTGAGCTCAGGGATTCAAAACCAGCCCCAGCAAGAGTGAAACCACCCCCCCCCCCAAATAGCTGAGTGTTGTAGTGGGTACCTGTTGTCTCAGCTACTTGGGAGGCTGAGGCAAGAGAATCAGTTGAGCCAACAATTTGAGGTTGCTGTGAGCTATGACAGGACAGCACTCTACCAAGGGTGATAAAGTGAGACTCTGTCTCAAAGAAATAGAATTAAATTAAATTAAACAAAATAAGGCTGGATACGGTGGCTCACACCTGTAATCCTAGCACTCTGGGAGGCCAAGGCAGGTGGATTGCTTGAACTCACAAGTTTGAGACCAGCTTGAGCAAGAGTTAGACCCCTTCACTACTAAAAAAATAAAAAAACTGAAGCAAGAGGATCACTTGAGCCTGAGTTGGAGGTTGCTATGATCTATAACATGATGACACTCTACCCAGAGCAACAGCTTGAGACTGTCAAAAAAAAAAAAAGGCTTGGTGCCTGTGGCTCAAGTGGCTAAGGTGCCGGCCACATACACCGGAGCTGGTGGGTTTGAATCCAGCCTGGGCCCACCAAACAACAATGACGGCTGTAATGAAAAAATAGCCGGGTGGTGTGGTGGACTCCTGTAGTCCCAGCTACTTGGGAGGCAGAGGCAGGAGAATCGCTTGAGCCCAGGAGTTGGAGGTTGCTGTGAGCTGTGATGTTACAGCACTCTACCCAGGGTGACAGCTTGAGGCTCTGTCTCAAAAAAAAAAAAAATTATTAGGGGGCAGTTTTCTTTTAAAGCCCTAGGTGTTAAGAGTATAGCTAGATTAAGCACTAAAATAAATAAATAAAGCCCTAGGTGAATTTTTGCTCTTAGTTTGCTTTGTAAGTATTGTTGCAAGAAGATGAGGCCCACTGGAGAGGATGAACACCATGTTTCAAAGAGAAAGGGCTTTATTTCAGTTGGAGGAGCAACGGCACAGAATTTAAAATGGCTACACTCCCCTACTGGCTAAGTTTTCTTTTTACTCGCAGTCAAAAAGTTCTTGGTGGCGCCTGTAGCTCAAGCGGTTAAGGTGCCAGCCACATACATCAGAGCTGGAGGGTTCGAGTCCAGCCCCAGCCTGCCAGACAACAATGACAACTACAATCAAAAAATAGCTGGGCATTGTGGCGGGCGCCTGTAGTCCCAGCTACTTAGGAGGCTGAGGCAAGAGAATCGCTTAAGCCCAGAAGTTAGAAGTTGCTGTGAGCTCTGACACCACTGCACTCTGCCCAGGGCAAGAGCTTGAGGCTCTGTCTCCAAAAAAAAAAGTTCTGGCCCATAGATACGTTTCTCACTGGTCAGTTTGAATCAAGCTGGAAAAGTGGGCTCTGGCTTTTACAGAACCGTGAGCTTTTACAGTAGTGGGAACAAGCATTAGTTTCTAGGTCCCGGGAAATTTCCACAAATTCCTAAGAGCTGAGTCACCAAGGAGAGGACCTCACAGTTGTATCCTTGGGGTCTCCTTGAGAAGGCTTCTGTTCTCTTAGATGTTCCTTTTTCCAGGTATCCTCTCTCAGTATGAGTAAAGATTTGCCTTGCTTTAAATAAACTGTTACATTATAAATTGTGCCTTCTGGCTTATGGTTTATTCCAAGAAAGTCAAGGTCCCTGTAATAAATAGGCCAGTGACAGTGGCTCATGTCTTGTAATCGCAGGACTTTGGGAGCCTAAGATGGGAGGATTGCTTGAGGCCAGAGGTTTGAGACCAGCCTGGGAACATAGCTAGACCCTGTCTTTACAAAAATACAGAACAATTAGCTGAGCATGGTAATGTGTACCTATAGTCCTAGCTGGGACTATAGTGGGAGGCTGAGGCAAGGACCATCACTTGAGCACAAGAGTGTACAGCTGCAATGAACTATGATGACACCACGGAACTCCAGTCTAGGTGACAGAGTGAGACCTTCTCTCTAAAAAAAAAAAGTGGACTAATCAAAAGACTGTACATCTATATATTTGAGTTAAAAATGTAGGTCTTTATGATTATTTATTATTTCGTACTTTAACTGAATATTTTTATTTATTTAATTTTTTTTTTTTGAGACAGTCTCTCACTTGTTCACCCTTGGTAGAGTGCCATGGGGTCTTAGCTCACAACAACCTCAAACTCTTGGGCTCAAGCGATCCTCTTGCCTCAGTCTGCCAGGTAGCTGGAACTACAGGTACCTGCTACAACACCTGGCTATTTTTTTAGAAAGGGAGTCTTGCTCTTGCTCAGGCTGCTCTCAAACTCATGAGCTCAAGCAGTCCACCTGCTTTGGCCTCCCAGAGTGCTGGCATTACAGGTGTAAGCCACTGTACCCAGCCTGTCCTTTGTCCTTGACTTAAATTGTCATCTTTATCTTATATTTAGGATTGTTCCATTGATCTGTCTATTCCTTTACTGTGACTAAGAAATAGTTCTTTAGCTTGGACTCTGACCAAGGTTTGTATCCTGGCTCTGCTATATTACCTTAAAAAAATACTTAGTTATCCCTTAAGCCTCAGAGTCCTCATCTGAAAGATAGGAATGATACCTAACTTCTAGATTTTTAGGGGATTATATGAAGTAGTATCTATTACAGGTCTGGCATATAAGAGATACCTTTCCTCCTTTCCTGTAATAGAAGTTTCTATTAAGGATATAACTGGTATGACCTATAATCTATTCTTTAATTCCTAACATTTTTAAAGAAATAGTTCAAACTTAATTTATTTTTATGGCTAGGAACTAGGGCCCTGATGATGGGAAACAAAGGTAAACAACATAATGTCCCTGTCCCCTTTAGGGACAGTATATTTACCAAAAAGATGTAATATACCAAGTTTTCTCAGTCTTATTACCATTGACATCTTAGACTGGAATCTTTATAGTAAGGGGCTATTCTATACATTGTATGATGTTTAACAGCATCCCTGACCTGTACCTACAAGATACCAGTGGGACACCCCTTCCCCTATCAGTTGTGACAACCCAAAATGTTTCCAGATATTGCCAAGTATCCCCTAGGAGGAAATTCACCCCTGATTGACAACCTCTACAGTGTATGAGCCCAGTACTGACGGCTACTGAGGGAGGCAATGATTAACCTCTTCTTGGAGTTGGGAAAGCCAATCACCTTTTGAGAAGTAGGTTATGTTTTAAATTGTTAACTGTGCCCCTTTTCCATTTCTTATTCTCTCTTTCTCTTATTTGAGAGATGATTCATCCATTTATTAATCATCTACTATATTGTGGGTATTCTTCTGGGCACTGAATAAAATGAATAAAACTACTCTTGTAGAGTTTACATCGTAAGGGTATGGGACTAGATGGGATTTGCTAGTGACTAGGATATAAGATGTGAGAGAAGATAAAGAGTTGGGATAATTCTAAAAATTTTCGCCTGAGAAATGAGTAAATTGTGGTGCCATTTACTAATTGTAGGAGGAACACTTGTATTCATATGGGGCAGGGAGGATTAAGAGTTCTGTTTGGACATACTGAGTTGTTCACTGTAGCCAAAGGTGAGTGCCTAGCAAGCAGCTAAAAAGATGCCGTCTGTATCAAGAAAGGGTTGAAGTATGTTGTTTTTGTTTGTTTGTTTGTTTTTGAGACAGAGCCTCAAGCTGTCACCCTGGGTAGAGTGCTGGTGGCGTCACATCTCACAGCAACTTCTAACTCCTGGGCTCAAGCGAATCTACTACCTCCGCCTCCCAAGTAGCTGGGACCACAGGAACCCACTGCCATGCCCAGCTATTTTTTGGTTGCAGTTGTCACTGTTGTTTGGCAGGCCTGGGCTGGATTCGAACCCGCCACCTTAGGTGTATGTGGCCTTAGCCACTTGAGCAACAGGTGCCGAGTTGAAGTATGTTGTTTACAACAAAATGATCCACATTTAAATTGACAGTCCTGTTATTCTGAGGAACCAAAATAAAGAAGAAAATTTTAGAAAATGTTAGAGTTGGGGTGGCACCTGTGGCTCAGTGGGTAGGGTGCTGGCCCCATATACCAAGGGTGGCAGGTTCAAACCCGGCCCCGGCCAAACTGCAACAAGGAATGGCCAGGGGTTGTGGCAGGTACCTGTAGACCCAGCTACTTAGGAGGCTGAGGCAAGAGAATCGAGTTCGAGGTTGCTGTGAGCTGTGACGCCACAGCACTTTACCAAGGGCAATAGAGTGATACTCTGTCTCAAAAAAAAAAAAAAAAAGGAAAGAAAAGAAAATGTTGGAGTTGACTCATATATCCCTGTATTTCTTGCCAAATCTATTCGTTACAGCTTAATTGACATAGAACAAAGTAAGATGGAAGGTTAGATAATTAAAGTTGAAGTCTGTACTTTTTTCTTAACAATTTATGTGCAAATCATCATTGCTGGGAACATGTCTGGAATTACATATCTCATTCCCACATTTTGGGACATTTACAGCTGGGTCTTTTTTTTTTTTGGAGACAGAGTCTCACTTTGTTGCCCTCGGTAGAGTGCTGTGGCGTCATAGCTCAGAGCAACCTCCAGCTCTTGGGCTTAAGCGATTCTGTTGCCTCAGCTTCCCAAGTAGCTGGGACTACAGGTGCCCACCCCAACACCCAGCTATTTTATGTTGCAGTTGTCCTTGTTGCACTGGCCGGAGCAGGGTTCAAACCCGCCAGCCTCAGTGTATGTGGCTGGTACCATAACCATTGTGCTATGTGGTTACGAGCCAGAGCTGGGTGGCTTTTAAGAAAAGGATTTAATGAAAAGGAATAAAAAGGGCGGCACCTGTGGCTCAAGGAGTAGGGCGCCAGCCCCATATATTGGAGGTGGTGGGTTCAAACCCAGCCCCAGCCAAAAACTACAAAAACAAAAACAAAAAGGAATAAAAAGGGTGTATATGCAGGTTTCAACTTGGGATCAGATTATGGCTTATGCATGAAGCAATTGCTGATATTGAAACTATAAAAGTGAATCTGTAAATTCACTTTTATTTATTCTGAAAGCCCTATGTATCTGTACATATATGTACATATGTGGAAATATCTTTGCTCTTCCTTGAATCCTTCCAGTGCATTTTGGAAGATTATCTTTTGTGTAAGTAGGTTCTGAGAATTAGGAAAAGTATTTTAGTCTTGGCACCTGTGGCTCAAGCAGCTAAGGTGCCAGCCACATACACCTAAGGTGGTGGGTTTGAATCTAGCCCGGGCCCGCCAAACAACAATGATGGCTACAACCAAAAGATAGCCAGGCGTTGTGGCGGGTGCCTGTGGTCCCAGCTACTTGGGAGGC